TACTTTTGCCTTTTTTAACAAAAGTCAAATCTAAAATATCTACTCCTCTAATCGGGTTATCAGATGGTTCAGGCTTAATGCGACCACATCAACTAAAGAGACTATTTAATCTTGTCTGCCACTAGAGCTACTCCGACCCTTCCAAGGTTATATTCTTTTTGTATTTTGTCTCTAAGTGTGAAGTCAAAAATCCACCTGAGCATTCTCATCCCAACAATACTTAGTTTTATGCTTCTCTTTTGCAGGCCCATTCTTTCATAAAGCATTACAAGTATAACCATCTTATAAAATTCTCCTTTAAGTTTAGTGGTGATTTTCTATCACACAATATTCCTGATACATTTCTCTACTTCAACCATCAAACATGAATTTTACTAATAACTTCACAATTTATATCACTATCACTTTGAACAATAGACCAAAGATATCTTAAATGTTCACTTCTTTTAATAACTTCATCACTCGTTGTTACAATACCAACACTAAACCTATTTCGAAAATTACATTTCATGCATTCAATTTTAGACCTATTCAAAACTATTTAGCTTTCATAATAAACTTATGTCACACAAATTTAAACTGATTTCAAAAAAAAGTTTATATCACGTCATAACATATGTTCAATTACATGAATAGATAACTCAAACTTATTACAATAAAGTATTGTTTTAGCGATTATATGAATCCTAAGTTTATGTGGCGATGAATGTAACCATATGATCTAAATGATGATGGAGTGATGTGAGGTGATAACAGTGCCCCTGTAGCTGGGCAAACAGGTGGGGCAAAAACCCCACGACCTATCACAATGCTTCATAAGAAGAGAAGGTGGGAGGAGGATCGAGAACTCTCGTGATCCAGAGAAGCGGGACACTTTGATACCGCGGGACCAGAACCCTCGCGATGCTTCACAAAAGAAGATGTGGGGCGTGATCGCATACTCTCACGATTTACAGAGATACTTCACAAGTCCGCCACACATGTTTTCTTCTAGGAAGTATTTTTCTAGATTCTTCTTGCCTTCCCACCCCCTTTACCTTGTGTAGAAGTTTCCTTTGAACAGTAAAACTCTATAAATTATTGTTATATGTGTGTAAGAGTCAATTTTTTGTTGTGTTTATTTTCAATTTTCTGTATGGAGTCCTTTCCCTTTTGTGAGTTGTATCCGAAGAGATGGTGGTGCTCCGGCTATATCCTCTTCAAGGTGGCGATTTTATCCTTCCCTTTTACCTTACCCAAGCCTTCCCATCCCCATTTCCAACCATCTGCCTCCTCCTCCATCACCCCAACACTTGGTCAATACCCTTTCTTGCAGGTTTTACTGTTGTCCAACCATCCTCCCTCTTTTTCTCAGCACTCCCTACCAACTACTCCTCACCCCAGTATCGCCGCCTTTACCGTCCAAAACCATCCAACCATCCCTCCTCCTTTCGTCGGTCACCTCCATACTTGTTGTCCCTACAATGATGCTCCTTCCCCTCACTACTATAAGCATTCTTTTGTTGTTATCACCCCCGCTAGCTATCGTGACCCACTTAGTCGGCCTCCATCACCCTTGAAATACACTTAAGAGGTGTTTGCTTCTGTCATTTTATGTTTTGTGTTGTTATTTCTCGTATGTGTCGTGTTGTACCCCTATTTTAAAAATAATATAAGTTTAACTTTGTGTTTATACTATTTTTTCTACTATTTATGGTATCATTTAATATTAGAGTTAACCCAATCCCTAGTGCCATCCTAAAGTTTTAGTATCCGCCTCACCCAAGCCTTGTCCACCCAATTTTTTCCTCACAATCCCCAACTCTAACCATGACACCGCAAAGAGATAAACCAAGCTCTACTCGGGAAGAGATCTAAGGAGAAATTTATCGTCTACAATGGAGACTGGTTGAGTTGGATGACAAGAACTAGGAAGAGATTATCTTCGACTGTGATTGGGATAGTCGAGGGGAAGACATCGATGAGGATTTGCGTCTGTTCCATACGGAAGATCACAATGATAAAGAATATCAACCATGTCATTTTTGTATCCAATACCAAATGAGGTTAAGAGAAGAGGCCACTTATGGGAGTCAGCGGTACTTTGGTATCTAGATGGACCTCCCTATATTTGAGGGAGGTATGGACCTCGATGAGTTTATCAACTGGCTGCAATCATTCAAGCGGAGTTTTGAGTATAAAGACTAAACAGACAAATAGTGGTCAAGATAGCTGACATTAAACTAAAGAAGAATGCCTCATTATGGTGGGAAAGTCTACAAAGGCAGAGGAGAGGAGAGGAGAGGAGAGGAGATGACAGTGAAAAGATAACAAAGTGGGAGAAGATGAAAAAGACAATGCAGAAAAAGTGCATCCAACCCTACTATCATTGGGATAACTTTATGAATCTTCATAACTAGTGGTAGAAGGATGTTTCAGTGGAGGAATTCACAACCCAATTCGATCACTTACAACTAAACTGCGATTTGATATACCAAAAATAACATACAGTAGCCTAGTAATATGGGGGACTCAAGTCTGCCATTATAAATGTGGTGAAACTTCAACCGTATTGGGAGATGTCCAGAAACTAGCATTGAAGGTGGAAAGACAGTAGAAGCATAACAGATAACAATCATTCTTCAAGAAACAACCTTGAAGTAGACAATCACCTACAGTTACCGCGACCGACCGGGGTACCTTGGGAGACACACAAGCTCGGACAAAGAAATGACACTTCAGATCAAAGCAAGAAAAAATAAGAGAAGTGTAGCTCCTCCAACACTGTACATGCTAGGAAGTGTTACGATGCCACAACTACGGCCACATAGCCTCCAGCTATCCCACGAGTAGGATAGTCACACTCACAGATCAAGGCACCATGGAAGAGATTAGTGATGAAGAGAAAGTTGAGGAAGAAGGTGAGGAGTATCGACTTCCCCCAGAAGAAGAAGATGCGCTTGTGATTCGACGGATCCTACAGACAGAAGATACTAGGGATTCACAGTGGTTTCGCCGCTACATCCGCTGCACAATGAAAGAAAAGCATGCAGTCTAATCATCGACGGAAGAAGCAGCAAGAACATGACATCAACACAGATGATAGATAAATTGGGACTTGCAACTCAAAGGGTTTCTCAATAGTATTAACTAATGTGGCTAAAGAAGGAGAACCCGGTCACCATCAACCAGAGATGCTTGGTAGAGTTTTTGATCAGAGGCTAGCTTCAAGGCCAAGTGTGGTGTGATGTGGTTCCCATGGATGCCTACCATCCATTGTTGGGACCACCGTGGCAGTTTGCCGGAGGAGTCAACACGACGGATATAGAAACATGTATTCTTTCACCAAGAAGGGGAAGTGCATCACCCTACTTCCTTTGACAGAGTCCAAGTTCATAGGATCCCTTATCAGCAGAACAACGCCAGTGGAACCGGATTTAGTGGCGACACAGAAAGAGTGGACCAAAATACCAGCTCCAAACGGGATAACTATGATAGGGAAGATTTCAGGGTCGATGTCGTATCACCAATTCCACAACCAGGCAGGAAGGTTCAGCCCAACTTCATAGCACATTAGACTGAACCGTCTGTGAGCTACTTTGGAAAAATTCAGCAGTACGTGCAAGACACATAGTTCAGAAGAAGGAATTGAGGTGGATATTTGCTCGTGAGTGGGAGAAGACCTTCAGGCACCTCGGGAAACGATGCAGTCACCAGTGGGATCCCGACTGGCTAATGACAAAACATCAGCTTCGACCTATGATGTCGAAACTCCCCTAATGTCGGGAGACTCACGTGGAGCCCTAACAACGCCCCTGAAACGGGGCAAACAAGCAGGGAAAAAAACCTACAAACTATTGCGATGCTTCGTGGGAAGCAAATGTAAGAGGCATATCGTGAACTCTTACGATCCAGAGAAGCGGGGCGCTTTGATCCCGCGGGGACAAAACTCCGTGATGCTTTACAGAAGCGGAAGCTAGGCGGGATCATAAACTCTTGGGATCCAGGGAGATACTTCATTAGTCTCCCACACCTGCCTTCTTCTGGGAAGTATTTTTCTGGATTATTTTTGCCTTCCCGCCCCCTTCTCCTCGTGTAGAAGTGTCATTTGACCAAAAGAAGTCCATAAATTACTATTTTCTGTATAAAAGTTAATTTTTTGTTGTGTTTATTTTCAGATTCCTGTTTGGAGTGCTTTTCCCTTTTGTGGGCTATATCCGAGAAGATGGTGGTGCTCCGATTGTATTCTCTCCAAGGTGGTGATTGTATCATTCCCATTTACCTTCCTCAAGCCTTCTCATCCCCACTTCTAGCCATCAACCACCCCCTCTATCACCCCAACATTCAGTCATACACATTTTCTACATGCTTTAATGTTGTCCAGCCATCCTCCTTCCTTCCCAACACTCTCAACCAACTATTCCTTACCCCACTACCGCTGCCCTCACTGTCCAGCACCTTCCAACCAACACTCTGCCTTCCATCGATAACCTATGATCATCCATACTTCCCGCACCTACAATTATACTCCTTCCCCTTATTGCCATCAACATTTTTTTACTGCAGCCACCCCCGCTAGCCATCCCAACCCACCTAAATGGTTGTCATCATCCTTTAAATACACTTGAGAAATATTTGCTTGTGTCTTTCATGTTATGGTTTCATGTTCTATTTGTGTCGTGCTATAATTCCATTTTAATATTAATAAAAATTTACTTTTGTGTTTCTACTATTTTTCCTAGTGATTTCCATATCATGGAGTTTTAGTGGAATGCTACCTTGCTTGTAAAGATACAAATATTTTATTATTCTAATTAGAAGTATTGGCATTAACTAGTTTATTAAAACTTTTGCGATAATTTAAATTTTTAATTGAGTTGTTGATATCAATTTTTAATTAGTTTATTAGGACTCGAATGCTTCTGTTTAATAAAAGAAGGGTCAAAAATAGAGGGGGACAAAAAAAAAACAAAAAAAAACTGGTCACCTTATACAAATTTCATAATTCTAGATAGAAAGCAAAGAAGAAATTCCAAGGGCGGCTCTAATACACACATTGGGAAGGGAATTTACAAGAGCTGATTAATGCATCAGTCCTCTCAAACAACTATATATTAGTGAGAAATCCTCCATGCCTTTTGAGCAACAAATAGACTCGACTTCAGAAATTATGGGAGATGATAAAGGTAATATAAGAAAATTTACAAAAATGTCTACAATATTTGCATCAGGAAGAACCAGGCTTTTTGCTTCGTTTCCTGGCAGTCTTGGCCAGAGCTTCACAAAACTCCTTGCGTTTTAAGTTGCCATTATCCTTTTTGGAGGAAATTTTGTTTTGATGCTCCCACGCTTCCTTCACAAAGAATTTCAGCCTCCAAAGGGTTGTTTCACTCTTTTAAGAAAATAAAATTAAAATAACTCAGGAAACCCAAATAATGGAAATCAATTTCTGAAAGGGCTTACTACCAGAGCTCCAACTATTTCTTGTAAGTAGAGAAAAGAGACATATCAAGCAAACATGCAAATTTAGAAATCCTTAATGTGCACAAATGAAAATCTGTCTAAGAAAAAGTACCCTTGCAGACTACAGAATGCATGAAATATTTGACGGCACAGGTGAATTTGCTAAAAGAGCAAGCATTAGAAAGCTCACTAAATTATAGGCAAATTTACATACATAAATCCAACCAACGGCTATGTATTTACATATCTAATAACTAAAAGTTTACTTTTCACATTAAACCACCAAAATCTTTCATATCAAATCAAAAATACCATCCTTCTAACTTTTAATTTTCATGCAAAGGTAAAGTGTATGCATGCAAAATTTAAAGTTTTGGTGTTAGATATGTAAATAGTTAAGAATTTAATTGTATGTATGTAAATCTTCCTATATTTTAACTTGTTTTCCTATTCAGTAGAGCTCCCTACCCTATTTCAAACAGTGGCTTCTTCCTCCCATATCAAATTTGGGGAAATTATGATTCATTCATTCATGAAGTTACATCTGATGAGATCAGGGAAAGAAAATAAAAAATTCAGATAAATTTGAAAGAAAAAAAGCTTTCTAAGAGATTAACCTGGGCATCCATATCAAACTCAACTACTTCTCCGGCAGTTTGGAAATCTGGATTGCTTTGGGCAATGATCTCCAGTGCCTTATTCAGGTCTTCAGTAGATAAAGTACTCAGTCCTGCGCCGAGTTTTCTTTTCTCTTCTGTGGACCATTTCCTAATTAGGAGAAGAGGCAGAAACTCATAATTATCATAAAAATACTCGGCTGTGATTAAAAAACACGGAGTTAAGGGCTCTGGCGGTAGCTTCTTCTATGGCATAAAGTTTGCAAATAAAACGAAAACATTGATGCTGGAAATTCTGTAGTTCTTTACATAAGATGCATCAACCATACATTATAATATGCAAGACTCTAGGGCACTTTAAAAGCCTATATAAACTGTTCATAAAGTGGAAAAAAAAAGTGAATAATCCTTGCATGGATTGCTTAGAGCGTCAAAAAACTCTTATGTTTTTCCATCTGAAAAAACAAAATGCAGTGTCCCAAATAACGCTCTGATGTAGATAAATGTGCCCAGTGATTCTGGTAATAGTAATCAAATATTAATCGAGTAGACTTTGAGGTTCGCAGAGTAAATTCTTGATGCACGCAAAATCGAGAGAAAAAAAAACCATTATATGCATGTAAATATGATATTGATACTTCCTACTGCATGAAAGAAATTTCAACATAAGCTGCTTACTAAAGAATAAATTAATAAAAACAACAAAGATATATTAAAGAAATGGCCCGCTTAAACTTTAAAAGAGTGAAGTCAAAACATCCAGCCTTGCCAATTAAAAAGTTTAATGTGGAAATTCTCATGTAAATTGATGGTGAGCACAAGCAGTCAAAATAAAAGGTGTAAATGTTTTCAAGTCCTTCATAACGGCTTCATTTATACGAATTTTCATTAACTAGCTTCACTTATAAAGCTACAACCTTCGAAAATAAAATCAAGTCCGTGGCTTTCATCAACAAAATGAATAGCGCTCAAGCATGGAATTCCAAATGGTCTGATGATGGTACTGCTTTTGCAGTGCATTTATTGAAAGAGGCGGATCCATTGAAACAGTTTGCTGCTGTAATTTCAACTCAAAACCTTCAAACGTGCTTAAGATATCATAAAAAAGGTGCATTACACGTTGAACGCCCAAAGCCACAAAAATCACAGAACAAACATCTCATGCATAAATGTTGGGGGTTTTTCCTCTTGGATTCGAAGGCTTCTCTCCTGCATTCCGCTTCCTCGCACGAAATCATTCGGCATGTAAGGATCCATTTCTTTCCCCCCTTCCCCAACTCGACGAGAAAGCTCTGGAATGTTTTGATCCACTTTTTTTGTGGCTAAAAACCTAGGTCTAGTTGTTGGTAGAGGAATATTTAGATCCACTTTTTTTTTTTTTTGAAATATATGAAGAATGGAGATCCAACGGTGATCTTTTCACGAATATAGATCCACCGATCTCTTTCTCCCTCGTTCCTTTCACTGTGTGGAATGTTTCTCGCTATCTTTCTCCCTCTGTTACATTTCTAGAATATAGATCCAACGGTGATCTCTTCACGAATATAGATCCACCGATCTCTTTCTCCCTCTGTTACATTTGTGGAATATGAAGAATGGAGATTTTGAACTGTTTTAATGATGTTCCATATGTTTGATCTCTGTTTTTAACTTATGATATGGTTGATCTATGATTTCAGTGAATGTGTGGGATTTCATTTTGTTGTTGTGGCTGTTAAAAATTTGATATGGCAAGAAGTATAAGCAATCCATATGCCGATCTATATGCAGTCTCATATGGTAAGATCTATATGCAGTCTTCATCATTTGTTCACTTCAGAGAAATATATGGAAATCTTTATGCATATCTTTATGCAGTCTTTATGCAAGGTCTTTATGCAGTTTAGAGAATTATATGGAGGAACTTAAATTATGCATAATCTATTCGCTCGGTTAGAAGTTTGACATGAATATATGTTCCCAAAATTGTTCTCTTTTCCAGTTAGAAGTATGAATTGCAATTTTGTTTTTTGAAAGAAATATAGAGATAATAGAGGAGTGATTATCAACTCTCCTTGCATTTCTTACCTTCCACAAAAATTAGATAACAACATGGATGACTATAACATTTATGTTATTGTGTAATTTGTGTTCAAATGACTCATCTCACAAAAATTATTATGCTTTCCTTTCCACAAAAATGTCATTTTATATACTTTTTTTTTCTTGAACGCCATTAATTTCATGTAGCACGTGGGAAGAAAGAATTATTCAATAAAAGACATTCATCATTGCGAGGCATAATTGAACGATCATTCGGAGTGTGGAAGAAGAAATAGGTTATATTGCATGATATGTCCACTTATCCATTTCTGAAGCAGGTCCAGATAGTAGTGGCCACCATGACACTCTACAACTTTATTAGGAGGCATCCTTCAAGAAATGATGCAGAATTTGTCGTAGTTGATACAAATTTACAGCAAATTCCCCCCGAAGCATTCGAGTACCTTATATACTTTTTTTTTCTTGAACGCCATTAATTTCATGTAGCACGTGGGAAGAAAGAATTATTCAATAAAAGACATTCATCATTGCGAGGCATAATTGAACGATCATTCGGAGTGTGGAAGAAGAAATAGGTTATATTGCATGATATGTCCACTTATCCATTTCTGAAGCAGGTCCAGATAGTAGTGGCCACCATGACACTACACAACTTTATTAGAAGACATCTTTCAAGAATTGATGCAGAATTTGTCGTGATTGATGTGGATTTACTGCAAATTCCCCCTGAAGCATTTGAGTACCATGTGGGTCACACCATACCACAACTTGAAATTGATTCACTTGAAACAAACACCTAGGGATGGTGAAGGGCTCTGAGAGATCAAATAGCAGACGACATTAATGAAACATGTTAAATAATGTATTTTAAAGTTTGGCTAAACAATTATGAATCATACCCTATTTTAGGGTTTTCTGTAAGGATAATCTGCTGTTACATAACTATGTTTGACATTCTCATGTTCACCTGTTTTGAACTATTTAATATAGATGGCTTGAATAGTATTAGTATAAAAGGTGTTACGCTATTATTGTGATGAAAATGAATATATGTTGCATTTCAAAGTATCGTATATGCAGAGCGAGCTTTATCTGGAATCCATTGTTGGTGAAAAATTTATGATGGGCATAATTTCTAGCAGCTTGGATGACCCAATTTTTTAAGGGCAACCGCTGCTATATATCTGAAATACATTCATATCACTCATTTTTTATTTAGAAGTGGTATGTATTACATAAGTCATTGTAGGTGAAGAACTTTTGGTCTTGCTGCATTAAATTCATATCAGTGCACTGGAGGTTCTATTACCCTTCTCGTTGTTTTATTTCTAGAACTTGTGGGGATGTAAAGTTGGGGGAGGATCACAAATGTTCAATGTGGTGGTTGAGCTAAGATATTTCAAAGTTGAGGGAGAATCACAGATATTTCAAATAGTTCACTTCTTGCATATGAATTCTTTTGTTTGGATGAATTCCTTTGTATGGTCTAAACTATATATTGCTGCTTTTAATAGCAGCTTTGAGCTCATTTTATAATTACTGTGGATACATTGTTTTATGTTGGTGGGAGTGGGAGTTTGCAGCTTGATGGCTTGATGGAGAGCTTTCATTTTTGTTAATAGCATCTAGTACCCCAGTAAACTGCATCTGTTTTCCAAGCTGGCATGAATTTTAAATTGTAAAATGACATGAATTGGTGGCATGAATTTTAAATTGTGATTTATAAATTGTGGCCAAACATACTTGTTGTCGTTCTTCGCATTTTTTTGGGAAATGTGAATATGTAAATAGTATGTCGTATCTGTTCTTCAGATTTCTTGTTAAAATACCTACTTGAGAGATATTTTTTTGGGGGATATCTGCTAGTTGTTGGTTGGAGAGCTTGATTTTAAGCACATATTACAACCTCAACTCCTCTATTCTATTCTTTTCTAAAGCAATTTTTTTTATGTTAGCAAATAGTTATTTCTTTAAAAAGTGAGGTTCAGGATACTGTATTGATCCTGCATTGTATAAATCTGACTTTGGAATTCCTTGTTGAAAACATCTATTTCGATTTGGAACATATATGAAGCCTTTCTGTTTTACATTTGATGCAGGAAACTGCTTTACATTCAATGCATTTTTGTTGTTGAGTGAATGAGGTGTTTTATATTGAGGGCAAGCATTGTTAAGTCAATGAGGTGTTTTATATATTTATATGTATGAAAAATCATTAAAATTGTGTGGTAATATATATGAAGTCTCTCTGTGATAAATATCAATTACCTCAAACTTCTGTAGTAAACTATGGCTGCGGTAACATATATGAAGTCTCTCTGTGGTATACATTTTCTGTGAGAAACATCAGTTGGATCATTGATATCAGTTGTATGACATCATTTTCTATGACTGCTATGGTATGGTTATGTATGCCAACATTTTTAATAATTCCTGGATTTTAGGGTGAAACATTTGAAACATTTCTATGACTGCTATCCGATGTACAACATTCGGATTTACTTGAGAAATTAAGTGGTATATATGTAAAAATTTTAAATTTATCTGCTGCAGGTAATTCTAATTATTGTTGGTACATATTTTATAGCTTTCTCATATTATTTCAGATTTATCTGTTGCATCTACACTTTCTACAGTACATATGAGTTTCGAATTACCTGTTGCATCATTTGGGTGCTACACATCTCTGTATATATTCGATTCATTTGTGTGCTTCAAACTACATGTCGTTTTGCAAATATGTTTGGATATATGGATTAATGGACCAAAGGCAACTATATGGATTTATGTCCTATTTAATTTTTTTTTCTTAATACTAAATTGTACTGATTTTATTGAGATAACGGTGGAGCAGTTTGGACGGCCACAGAAATTTGTCGTCGGAAACCGCTGTCTCTATACTTTGGTAAGTATACTTTCTATATTTCCTCAATTTTTTGAACGATCTATTCTATTTTTAATAATTGCAGCACGATGAGTTCCAGATATTCAGTGAAGTCCGAGAAAGTGATGTGTCGGTGCGGGCTACCGTCCTTGCTACTCATGTCACGCCAGAAACATAGCTTCGGAAGACAGTTTTACAGGTGCCCGCGGTGGGCACAACAACAA